TAGCATGGGGGTAAGACGCACACACACCGCTGCTGTTAAGTGTGCATTCTAGCATCATTGCTAAGCTCAAGTTCATCAATACCTACTTCCTGCACATTTCTCTTCCATTTCCATACATATATATTTTATTGTTCTTCCCACTATACACAGTATGTACACAGGGTGGACAAAATGTTTGAAAACCCACACTACTACTAAGCAAGCTAAATAGATAACAATGAAACTAGGGATGCACCGAAATCGAATCAAACAAGTACATTCACATTTTTTCCATTTATTTTGCTTTTTTTACCATTGCATAAATTAAATAGTCAAAATGTGCTTTTTACTCAGTGTTTCCCACAGGATTTGGATAGACTATGGTGGGTGGGTCTGAGGCCTGAGAGGGTCCGGTAAAGTAAATTACATGTGTCCATTTACTTATAATGGACACCTCTAATATGTTTTACACTGCAAAAAGTGAGCTCTCAAAAACAAGGGAAAAAAGCATTAAAATGGGGGAAATATTACTTAAAATAAGCAAAATTATCTGCCAACAGAACAAGAATATTGCTACTTAAGGACAAAAAAACTTGAAACAAGTGAAATTCTTTTACATAAAAGCTGCCTGGTAAGAAGGAATATCTTTTTAGACAAAAAAAAAAGTATATTTTGCCTTTAATTAAGATAATTAATCTTACTTAGATTTTAGTTTTTGCAGTGTATACTTTCTGTGAATATAATCCAATTAATCTTATTTCCATACTGTATAGACACCTTATTTTGAAACCGGATGTTGTCACATGTGTATCCTCGCGCTAAATTCATCAAGTCCGACCCAATTTATTAAATAATGTTGTATGGGGTTCTCGTATCGCGCAACATGAAGACTTCATAGCCTCTCTTCAGGTAGGACTCTCATACTGCAACACTTGTCTTTGTAAAGAAGGATATGGCAGGATAAAGTCGCTAACCTGCCTTTCAGCTCGCACTGGTCCTTTCAATGGATTTACCATAAAGGCTTGAATATGTGTGCAGCTAGCTTAATTGCCTTCTCATAAATGAGTTAAAGAAACACTCAAAGTGGGTCAGACCGTTGTTGCCTTTTCTAAGAAGTCAGCCACAGATGGAGTGGATGTGCTAGGAGACAATTCAGAAGAACAGTGTCTGCAAACGGCAATTTTTGCGTCTTTCTCAGACACCAAAAAGCCTTTTTTTTTTGCTATTTTCGCCTGTTTAATTTTGGTGGCCGAACATTTGGTGCATCCCTAAATGAAACAGGCAACTATACTTGTAAATCATTCATTTAAATACATATTTGCCATGCAGGTTTCAGAAGCAGCATGAGGGAGCTAGCAGAGTTTAAAAAATGCCAAATATTCAGTGCATAAATTGCAAGCCAAAACCTGCAAACACCTATAATGTGGCAAGAGAAGCAGTTTCAAAAATCACATCAACACAGTCAGTACTATGACTGCAAGATGCTCTGCCAAGAAATACGTGGCCACGTACAGGAGCAGGTGCCATATAAACTGCTAATTAAAGTCAATAATGGTTTCATGATAAAGGGAGGTTTCATCCCAGTCATAAGGTCTAAACCCACAAGTGTTGGGTACAGAGTATGAATCAGATGTCTACCTCTATGATCTTTAAAATATAGGCTTCCAAATGTTAACTGTATATTTTCTGTCTTCCCTCTATGCTACCCTGGTCACGTAGGAGCTGATGTCCCAGAGACAGAAGCTGGCAGTGGAAAGGGAGAAGCTACAAGCAGAGCTGGAGCACTTCAGGAAGTGTTTGACGCTGCCACAGACACACTGGCCGAGAGGCGGCCATTACAAAGGCTACCCTCCCAGGTGACCCCGACACGGCGACCTGATGGGCCCCCAGGCGCCGGCCACCTCCCCTTTCAGACTGACACCCAGAGTTTATTTTTCATGGCCTGATCCACATGGCTCCATGGAGGAGAATATGGCTGGCTAGATAAGATAGATGAATGAATGAATGGATGGATGGATGGATGGATGGATGGAGTGAATGGATACATGGGTGATACAGGACCATTCAGTGAAGGACAGGCAGTCTTTGGATTGTGGCCAGCCAGGGACTGTGCCACGAGCCACTAACGTGTGCCAATGTAGCCAACCCCGAGATGAGCGAGAGTTTGAGGCTGGAGTACCTGAAGATCAACACACACACACAAACACACATATACACACACATGCACCTGCTTTCCACACAGTCTTCAGTCCCTGCTGCTCTATTATTCAGTCCCTGCATCCCTCACCGCCACAGCTACACAGACAATCCTGCCAATGAGGGAGCAGCTACCCCAGGAGGGGGTATCGTCTAGAGACTTGAACGCTCCAAAGGCTTCTGGCCAGTTGGGACTGATTTTATCACAGTGGCCACATGAGCTTTTGAACTGGAAATGCACTTAAGAATAAAAGCTGAAGAACTACCTGGTTGGTACTGTGTTACAACAAAGAACTGTTCAAATTAGGGAAGAACTTAGAAAATGCACATTTTTGGAAAAGAATAAAGGAAATGTTTTATTTCGAAATAGAAAATTTGAGAATAAGAATTTTAAAAGGTGCTTCAGCCTTGTATTGTATATAATATGAAGACTTAAAAGAATTTTGTATGTTTTTATTACTTTAATCATTGTTCTTTTAAAAGAAAAAGCCTGCCATTTTTATATGTTTATGCTTTTTTGGGTTGGAAAAGAAAGCCTTGCTTTTAGTGTTTGTACTGCTGCTGGCCAGAACAGCTCGTTTAGAGACATTTAACAGTGTGAGAGAGAACACCTCATCTGGCATCTGAGCTCAGCAAAGCTTACTTCGAGGTCGTGAGACATGGCTCCTGCCCTCTCATCCCCCTCCCTTCACAGTAACATGTGTCTCTCTGTTTTAATGCCCATTTCAACAGCTCCTCTGCTCAGATTCACTGCTGCTAGCATTACTAGTTAGCTTGTGATGTTCTCATACAGAAACTTGTTGAGTTGAGACCCACAGTGACAGAATTCTATTTTTTTTTTTTTTTTTTTTACTTTGGTCACTTGACATACTTGATTTACTTTGGAAAGACATGAAGAGTCTCTTAAGCAGCCAGCTGAGGAAACTGGTTCTTGATGCTTTATCCTACCATTGGACCTTTCGCTTCACTTTGCATGACATTAAAATAGCATTGGACTCAAACAATATGACGGTTTGCATTATGTTATGCCTTACAAGATCAAGCCTTTATCAGCAGCCATGAAAGGACCTAGTGCCAAAATGAAAACGGTAGCATTTTGGATTCTTAATTTCAATTTGAGTTGCAATTAGTTAGCCAAACATTCAAACCACAATGGCCATCTTCCTCTGCTTAATACCTTTGACCCCAACTCATTTCCTTATTGCATTTACCCATTTTTAAGACCCTCACTATCCAAAGTTGCCAACATCTGATAAATAACAGACCGGAAATCACACAAAAAATAGATTCAAACTGGGCATTTCTTAGTACACATAAAAATCAGATAAGTTTGATTTACCTAGCCTCAAACCTCTTTACAACCTCTGCCTGACCTTCATCCTTGTTGTCAGCTCTGCCCTGAGATTCAGCCACGTTTTACACAGACTAAATGTCTCATGTTGCCTCAGCTCGGCCTAAAGACCATCGACGAGGTGTATAGATAATTGTGGGATGGTTGGTTTGAAAAGGGTGGGGAATTTCAGTATTTCAAAGTAAAAAATGTAAAACTTTGAAAATGTGCATGAAGTTAATTTGTAAAAATAAAATTTACATGCTTACCCTTACATACAGTATATTAATTACAAGTGCCTCAAGAATTTGGGAGCATGTGAATGAGTTGCAGTCCATATGATGGACATTCTACACAGAACATCAGTGATCAGGGACCTTACATTTTACTTTTAAGCGTCTACAGTTTGTCTCACACCTCTCAAAAATGTGCATGTCAAGAACTGACACAGAATTCCTTTATCTAAATGTATCACCGAGAATCAATTTAATCATCTGACATTTTTTTTAATGAGGCCCAAAGCCAGTTCAGAGGATCAGGTGGATACAGGGTGTAGTCTGTTATTTTTTACAGAGCAGAAGAGAGCTAGGAGTGCAGCCTATCAGTTAATGAGGGAGTAGGCATGCTGAGGTAAGCTGCCAATGAGCTGGGGAGGAAGGTGCAGTGTGGTGAGCCCCTTACCCAGCCTCCCTATCTCCAACCCACGCACACCCATGCAATAGCCCCATTACTCAGTGGAGGATGTCTAGATGCTGTGAAATCCTGTTTTTAAAATGTACTTGTTTGAATTCATTGTAATGTAATATATTCTTTGTTGAATGTAGTAATTAGGTATTTATGAATATATGGCTGTGATTTCAGACAAAAAAGAAAATAAAATATTCCAAAATGTTAAATATCCACCTTTGTCTGTTTGTGGGCAATTTCATGGGAGAGTAGAACACTAAAATTACATACATTCATGTATTTAAAAAATTCCACCCTACAAGACATGCATTTAAGAACTGGAGTTTGTGTTGGGACGCTGAGCTGCAGTTCCTCACTGCTGTAAAATATTTAAGATGGGTCAAGTATAGGCCAAATGTCTCCACAAGGACATAAATTAGATTTTTATACATACAGGACAAAATTTTGAAGTAGATGGTAGGTTTATTTGTCACTCTAGAACAGGTTGTGAAGTGAAATTTAATTTGTAACTAATGATATACAGTAAAACAAAAGTAATCATAAAAATGGTCATGGGAAATAAACTGTATTTAATGGAACAGTGCTGAGGATGAATTTGAGTTTAAATGTCTGACAGCTTGGGGAGAAAATTGCTCTGCAGTGTGGTGGTGCAGCAGCAGAAACCCCTATATCTCTTCCCAGAAGGCAACAGGGTGAACAGGCTGTGGCGGGTACTGTCCTTTAGTATTCTTTGGGCTCTGCACAGGCACCTCATCTCACCAATATCACTGATGATCAGTAGATGGGTACCAATGATCAGAGGGAGCCTATTGTTTCTGTATTTTTATTAATACAGCAGACTGCCCTTTATGATACACTTGGAATCTTATACTACTAGGTCGCCATTTCTGTCATCCTAAAATTGACCCAAACAGGTGTTGCTGGAAAAATAACTGTCAGTTATCTTCATTATTCACATTATTTTTGATTAATTTCTCTATAAAATGTAAAAAATAAAATAAAATAAAAAAAGTGAAAGATGAGAGCCTACATTGATTTATATAAATGTTTGCTCCGGTCAACAGATCAAAACCCAAAGAATTCCAGTTTAGTTTACACATAAAAATGAGAAGCTGAAACTGACAGCTCACCAATCACCAGTTTTGCTTCAGTCTATCAATGAATTATTTATAAAAATTGTTGTCTTAAGTTTCAGCTATATAACAAGCATTCTCATGTTTACTGTAGGGCTTCTACCAGAATTTTGCAGGCGAACCTCTGCAAAACACTACATATAGAACGCTGTAAAATATGCAGAGGAAGTATTACACAAATGGGCTACCAACATAATAATGATTATTTGACACAATTATTTAAAATCTAAAATTAAAGAGGGGAGGAAAAAAAAAAAAAAAAAGTATAGTTGTATATCCTAGACATACACACAAATACATTTATTTTGTAACTGATTGAGACAAACAATGGTTGCAATTTTAAACTACAGTGAAGTGAGCATCCTAAATTAAATATGCACGTTTCCAACAGCAGGAACATATAAAGCCTACATGCTTTTAATATGTACAGATCACCGCATGTCTCCCTAAAAAAAAAAAAAAAAAAGAGTAAAACTCCGTTTGCTTCAATCCACCATTCACATCAATCTTGCGGACTCAATTTCTGAGAAAACAGTCTTTTGAGTAATGAAGTCCAAGGCTTTAGCCCTACTCTTCCCAAATTATTGGTCCAAACCTGTTCAGCAGGCCCTAATGTTGTGGATCAATAGTCCATGAACTGGGTCTTACTCGAACCAGGCTGCATATTGGAACGTAGTTTGTACATGCAGTTGAGAGAGTCAAGAAGGAACGATCGTATGGTGTTGATCTCCATCAGAGTCAGGTTGTCGAGCTACAGGGGGTAGGGGGGAAGAGTGAGACATGAGGCTCAGTTTCAAACAAGTAAAAATAACATTCTTCCTCTAATGACAGCTGTGAACACTTGTGCTCATATCTGCTGGATCTTAATATAACAAGAAAGCAGTAGGGCCACAAGGTGAGAGGATAAAGAGATAATCCCAATTATTTTTTGCAAGACACTGTGACCAAGACAGTTAATCCTGTTGATTAGGAAACGATCAAGGTGCTCTAAGGTTCAAGTTTACCTGATGAATCTTCAGAGGTTTCACCTGAGTGGCCATTTAAAATGAGACTGTACATGTATGCAGCTAAGTTGACAATATCCTACCATTGCAACAAACCATTTATTTTATTGTTGATTCATCTGCTGATTATTTTTTGCAGATATTCAGTCAGTCGTTAGAAAATAGTAAAAGAAAATGCCCTTTTCACAGTCCCATGGTAACACCTTCATATTGATGTTTATTGGACCTACAGTCCAAGTCCAAAGCACATCTACTTTACCATCACAGTGGAGTAAGAAAACCAGCAAATATCTACATTTAAGAAGATCAATTACCTTTTGATTAATTACTCGCCTAATCAATTATTTGACTAATTGTTTCAGCTCTATAATGTCCTATTAGCGGTTTGTGGAAACTAAATGCTCAGTCTATGATTCGTCCTCATCAGTTTTACCTTGGCGTGAGCCTCCAGCTGGTTTATGAAGCGGTCAGCAGAGAGGCGGAGTTTGGCAATACGCGTGTCCCAGATGTCTTTGACCAGCGTGCGGATCTCATCGGCTTTAGGAATGTTGTCAGACGCACTACAGACACACAAACTGTCATTTAAAAAGGTAACATACGCAGACAAAAAGAGAGCATTTACACAAACTAATTACTCTAAACACCACAAGCACAATAACGCACAACTTCTGCAACGTGATTACTTTACTTTCTATGACTCACTAGTTCAGTAGCAGTTTGGTCAGCTCCATGTAGTAAGGACTGGGAACAGACGTAAAGGCTTCCTCTTTCCTCTCAAGCTCTCGCATCTCCTCCAGTTTCTCTGCACATTAATAACAGCAGGCAAGTCAAGAACACTAAATGAAGTTCCAGGTCCAGGTATTTTCAGCATCATGTGTAAAAGTTTTTCAGTTTTTGTGATCAACAAGGACGAGTGATTTACAATCACATTATTTTTCTTCGAGCAATGAACTGATTCTACAAACAAGTATATCCTGCACAGACAAGGCCTGATATCTTATTCCTCAGCACCTGTTGTCCAAACACTATTAAAAACACACCAATGAGCCCCACCTTTGTGACTTGCTTTATGATGATTTGAACAGTTTATTTGGAGTCAGTATCGCATACACTGTCCTGCTGCTGTAAATAGTTTGCAACAAATGCACTATTTACTTCTGTTTAAATAATATATGCAAAAAAGATAGCCTTTTTTTTAAAATGAAACTGTAAATTTGTACTTAATATTTTCAGTAGGAAGAAAGCGTAAGGAAGTCTGAACTAATGTGTTGTTTTTTGTCTTTTGTGATCTTTGTTGACAATAAGAAAAATATAGTATAAAGTATGGATGAAACGATTACCGGTTTAACGGTAAACCATGGTAAAATTCTCGACGGTTATTATTACCATACACATTTTAATTAGCATGATAACCGGCAAACACTGTCCAGCGTCTCCCAGAAGCAGGCGCGCATGCGCAGAATCAAACATGGGTTTGTTTGGGTCAATGACAACACGGCGGAAGATCACGCTGCGGAGATTTTTCAGTCACTCTGAAGTCCGGTCGTATTTTAGTTTTTGAGAGCGCTGAGGGGAAACTTCATTGAAGAAAATTACCTTATAGTGAACGCAGGGTGATTTAACTTTTAGCTTTTGTTTGTCTCTCTGATTTGCTAACAGCGTGTAAACTGAAGTTCTCAGTGTTGCTGCTCTTGTAAAAACGCTACACGTTGTTCTGCTGCTGTGTGCGTCGTGTGTAGGCAGAGTCTATATGTCCACTGCACATGATAACACATTACGCAGTTTAGTCAACCAACCAGCATATCTAGAAACGCTACAGACTCCTCTGTATTTACGTCAGTTGTTTGGCTCATTGCAGTTACTATCACTGTCTCCTGTCTCAAAAATTGTTTTCATGCAATTGTCCACGGGGGTCATTGTATTACCTATATAATATAAAATATAAAATCTTGATAATGCACACTTAGATTTTCATTTGTTTAAAAAAAAAGGTATTTGCTGTTATTTTATTTTTTATGCAAACAAAATGGCAACTGTGTTTGTAGTTTTCAACATAAAACTTGTTGAAATGGTTCCAGTTTGTGTATCAGTACATTTTAATCTTTTTCAGCACATTTTTACAATACCGTGATAATACTGATAACCGTGATTATTTTGGTCACTATAATCGTGATATGAAATTTTCATACCATTTCATCCCTAGTATAAAGCCAGCCATTTAACAACAGTCCTCTGACCTTAAAATTATTCACCTATCCTGGCCACTTGAAAATATGTCACAGACCGTGTGTACTGTATATCTTACCAACATCCATCCATGCAGGAGGAACAATTCTACATTTCTGTCTCTGTTTCAGGTTAAGGGCCAGCCACACAGGAACATCAACTGGCAGTCCAGGGTTGAAGGGGCCCAGGTCACCCTGAGGACAGAAAAACCCACACCGTGTTCACACTCAGAGCCACCCGACTCCTACCTTCAAAAGCATGTAACATGAGCGCTGATTACAGCTGGTGATTTGACTTATTGACCTTAACGTACATTAAGGCTAACGTTACTGGCCCATACAGTAACGTTACATGCGAAAACCTGAATGTATCACAATTCATCATCGCACTGTAACGTGAAGGTTTGGCATATGCTAACATTAACTATTGAGCTGATGTTTGACCGTGTTAAACAACGTCTTGACAAATAAAGTAACTCACTTACCCCGATCAGATAGATCTTGTCTAGACTGAAATTTGGTATTATAGTCACCATCTCTTTCTCGGCAAGGAACTCTACCTCCGAGGGATCCATAATTGTTCAGCTAGATTATTTTATTTCCAAACTTTACCCTCACATCTACTCCGCTGATTGTTCCCGCGCTGCCGGCTGCATGAACCTACAAGGAACACGTAGGATGAGACAAGCCGGTCATCGAATGAAGACGTCACACCGCTCAGCGAGCACTTTTTACCGTTTTGTTCACTTTAAAAACTTCGGCGTCTTTGTGTGTTATCCCCTACTTGGCATATCTGAAACATTAGAGAACTTGTAGTTTCAAGGCCGTTTACTGACCATGACGACACTGACCAATCCTTATTTTTTTCGTTTTGTCTGCCCCGGAAGGAAGTAGTGGGTCATGTGACAGCAACAGTTGTGGCAAAGCGCTACTAGATGGCAGTATTCACCGACTTATAAAGACGCCACGACGCGCTAAACATGAATGTAAAGAGTTCCATCTGGCATTTCTGCACCAGTCAGAGCTGTTTTAATATTGTTTGCAGTATTTGTTATTCATGCAAGTTTGCCTTTGATATGGTTTTACAAAGTCAGCTAGCAGAAGGCATTTATTAAACACTTGTGATCCTTAGATGTTACCACACACTTAAAACAAATTTACTCTATTACAAAGTCCTGCATTCACAATTTTACTTTACTAAAGGTACAAAAGTATTATAAGCAAACAGTATACTACACAAGTTTAATCTGTAAAATGCTTTTTATAAACTGACTATATGTTTTGAATGGGAAATCTTTCTATTCAGTGTAACTAGTTGTTGGTTGTATATAAGATATATAGTTGAGTAAAAAGTACAATATTTCCCTCCAAAATGTGCTGAAGTTTAAGTATAAAGTAGCATGGATGGACATGGATATTGATACATCATACTGTATCATCTGGTTTAAAATGTATATTTTATAATGTGATGTATTGAAATGTCATGACCCTGATGATCAATGAGGTTTAATTTTAAAGGAATTACACTGTATACAGTATGTGAGAATACAGATGAAGTTGTGGATTAAATGACACAATCTTATAGCTGTGCAAAATACAGGCACAATGCCTTTTAATATAAATCCCAAAGTTACTAATTTACTGCTGAAACAAGTAGCAGGTTGACTCATTAGTCCATTGACAGAAAATGAATCAGAAACTAATGAATTATATCCCACAATCATTTGGAAGTAAACAGTTCTAGTATCGCAAATGTAAGTGTTTACTGCTTTTTCTTGTCATGTAATGTCTTTGGGTTTTGGACTGTTGGTTGGATAAAACAAGACATTTGATAACACTACCTTGGGCTACAGGAAATATGTCGGGCATTTGTCACTATTTTGTGATGTTTTATGGAACAAAATATTCTGTAGATTAATCAATAATTAAAATATCATTATTTGGAGCCTTAGCACTTATACTTTTATTACCAGCACTTGACTTATCTGAGAGAACAGCAGCTAATTAGTACGGTTGTGTCCTCAATGAGACCAAAACAGTGGATCACATCACTTCAGTTCTTAAGTCTTTATACTGGCTTCCTGTCTGTCAAATCATTTATTTTAAAATATTACTGGTTGGTTTATGAAGCACTGAATGGGTTAGGGCCACAATATATTTCTGATCTTCTGCTACGTTATGAACTATCCAGACTCAGGTGGTCTGGAACGGGTCTGCTTTCTGTCCCCAGAGTAAAACTAAATATGCACCATGTAGAACAAACTCCCATAAAACGGCTACGCTTAGAGTTTTAAAATTAAGGATAAAGACTTGTCTCTTTGCCTTTTATCAAATCAAATTTAAGGCTTTTGGTTATCTTACACTGCACTGTAACTTTTACTATCCTGTTTTAGTGTTTTTATTTTCTACTGAACTCTTTAATTTCTCAAAATGTCTTTATATTGGCCTATGCTCCTTTTATGCACTTTGAATGACCTTGTTGTTGAAATGTGCTATACAAATAAACCTGCTTTTGGCTTATGGCCTAATAACTACATTTCTGTGAAAGGTTAGTAGCACAAAGTATAAGCAGTGGCTGAAACTGAGAACAACACTTTGTGCCAGTTCTTTATGCGTAGTCATGAGTGGACAATCGAACAGCTTGCGGTATGAGCCAAAAAAGCATGTTTGCAGGGCATGCAGAAAGCCTACTGCATGCCACTACTCATGATAAGATCATCAGAGTGATTTTTTTTAATTTGGGAAATAAATATAATAAATAAAATAATGAAGCAGAACTGAAAGACGGGAAAGTTTTCAGGGCAAAGTGAAAGATTAGAGCGGGTGCTACATATGATCAATTTAAGACACAGAAGGCAAGCAAAGAGAAAACATTAAGGGTAAGTGAGCAAAGGTCAGCAAAGCTTCCAAGTTATTTTAACAACATGAATTGTGAATCATCACTTCCTTATATGGACATGTCAGGAAATCTACAACAGTTTTAGACCAGGAAATATGATTTATTGGTAAACTTTATTATTTAGGGATGGTTCAGGTATATGCTATTGCTGTGACTTGGCTGCAATAATGATGCAATTTCCCACTGGGATTAATAAAAGGACTAACTATTGCCACTCATAGTCATACTTTTTTATTCATTTCACTGAGGCTTTTATCCAAAGCGACTTACAATTGCTATATATGTCAGAGGTCACACGCCTCTGGAGCATCTAGGGGTCTTGTGTCTCGTGTTTTGTGTTTTGTCTAGTGTCTTCCTCAGGGACACATTGGTGGATGTGTCTTATCCACTGCCCCATCACCACCCATATATTCTGTATTTATACTTCGCTGTGTTAGTTACATACATGTTTAATTTCATCCATCATCAACCGCTTATCCTGCGTACAGGGTCGCGGGGGGCTGGAGCCAATCCCAGCTGACATCGGCTGGACAGGTCGCACCGCAGGGCCACACATAGACAAACAACCACTCATGCTCACACCTCAGGACAATTTAGGCTCACCAGACAACCTAGCCTGCATGTCTTTGGACGGTGGGACGAAACCGGAGCACCCGGAGAGAACCCAAGCAGACACGGGGAGAACATGCAAACTCCACACAGAAAGGCTGGGGCAAGTGGGTTTGAAACCACGACCTTCTTGCTTTGAGGCGACAGTGCTAACCACTGCACCACCCCCTGACACACGTGTTCCTGATATAGCAGCAAAGCCATTAATACAACCCTTGAATGGCACTTGTTAAAGTATGTAAAACTAAACCAAAGAAATGCAGCAGCCCTGAAGCTGCCGCATTTTTTTGTGATAGTTTTCACATTTTTAATAAACCTTTTCTAAACTGTCATGGCAACAGTATAAGACATCTAGCAAAATAATTTACTAAATGATGAGTCGGACGAAGACTTTGATCATTTCAAAAGTCGGTTTCATTGTACATTCAGTTCATAAAATTTCTGTAAAAAATGTGATGATGTCCACACAATTATTTAAGTGATTAGCTTACAATAATTAGAAATAATTAATTCTAATCTCAAATACAAAAGGTGGTTCTGCATCCTCACATTATTATTATTTAAGTATAATAAATACTATTACCTAATTCTTAAAATACATATCCAACATTAAACTAAATTAACACATTCCTGCGATCTGATTCAGTGCATTGTATTTCTGAATAAATCTTCCATTGCAACAATCAAAAGCCACCATGCCGACATGTGTATCATCCAGAATGACCTTCTGAAGTGCACCAGTGACAATGACAGGAGACATGCATCGCCGAAATGTAAGCATCAATTATTTAAAAGTCAAAGCTCTTGAGTCAATCATCCCATTGTCATTACTGGTGAATCTACAAACAGACTTGAGTTGGCATGTGACAGTCCAATGAGACCAAACCTTTGAGATTCCCGTCTCTCTTGTTCAATGCCATCTATGTGTTCCAAAGAACTTCTGTTCTACGTGTGAATTTTGTTTCAGGGCTTAAAACAAAACTAGAAATTTAATAAAAGAACATTTTTATATCATATCTCAGTAGTACAATCATCATCTAACATTGTTCATTATTTAGAAATTGCTCTCGTATATGGCTACTGGCTGTAAAATTTAAGACAAAAAAAATAGATCAAATACTCGAGAATAGAATTTAACTTTAAGCACACATCTATGAATAAACACAAACCATTGCAAAAAAAACAAACAAAAAAAACAATTAAGTTGCATTCAAAAACAAAATCACCTCAGTACCACCTTGTAAAGGCAGACACATGCCAACAGTGCACATATGGCGCTTACCCTTAAGAGATTTTGGCCTGACTAGTCAGTGCCCCCCAAACTCCCGTCAGTACGGGAGCCCTTTGAAGGAACAAAGACTACAAGTTCAGCATTTTTGTACTCCTGTGCTACACGACAATTAGATCAAGCATGCTGAAATGGCAGCATTATTTGCATGTGTGTCCAGGGTACTCCTGACTGAGGGTCTTAGCACAGATCCAGGATGGACTTGTTGATCACAGGGTTGGTCCAGTCGTTCCTGAGATCATCCAAGTGGTTGTCAAAGTCAATCAAGTTCTCGTAGGACCTTCCCTCTAACAGAGCAGATGTAATCTTCTGTGCTTCGCTCCAGTCCTCAAAACAGTCACTGGAAGATGGACAAAAACAGTTTGGTAAGTGACACCTAAATAGTGTAAGTTAGTAAGAAACACAGGGAGCTTGTATGACACAGCTGTGGTTGAGGTGCACAGAGACACTTACAAAGTTACTTCTCTGTTTTTCCACTTGTTTTCATGATGATCATAGATGAGCACAATGGGCTCAAAACAGCTAATGGTTAATCTACTGTTGTCCACCTGAGTAAACAAACAAACAAAAAAAAACAAACAGAAAATGACAATTACTGTCAGCTATGACTCTGTGAGCTGTTATGTATAGCTTTACAGGATCAGACCAGGGTTTTGCATGTTTTAGCGGAATTCACTACTAATTCTTCTAACCATTTTAAAGCATAGTATAGCATTTTATATTTGTTATGTTTCTACCACATTCCAGGCAGTATTAACTTTGTCTGTACAATATTAATATATAATTTTTGCAGCCTACCTAATGCAAGAACATACCAAACAAATGTTTGAATGTATGCACACAATGTTAAATTTTAAATTCAACAATGGTCTACAGCTAAATATATAAATCTCAGAAAGTGGAGCTAATCGATTTTGAAATTATATTGAACTAAAACCAGTGGCTGCCTTGAAAGTAGGATGAACATGATTGAAAAAAGTCAGCAGTTAAGTATTTATATAATTTGGGGTAAATGGACGGAAACATGTAAAACCACTGGTATAGTCCATTAACACCAGCCTGAATGATTTTACTATTACCATAACAATTGCTGCTTCGCAGAAGTTCTCAGAAATCCTGGCAGCCACTTTTTCTGCAACTTGGTTGGGTCTGCAAGAGAGAGGCCCAAAAATGTAGTGTATCAGAGTCCCGAGTAGTCAGGGGCATGGCTTAGAACTGGTTGTTGTACTGAAACAACCTGGGTGTTAGTGTGCATTTTGTTGTCTCTTACCTTGAATCCTTTGTGCGTTCATTGGCTTGATAATATCCAGCAATCACATAATTATTTTCTTTACACCAAGTATCAATCTGAGATGGGAACAGGAGTCGTGGAGCCAACATGAAAGTGCAGAAGGACAGCAGATTTCAGGTTAAATTTATTTTCAACATATGTCATCTTAAATTGCTTTGAAATAAACCCTATGTTAATAAAGGTTATAATGTTTACGTTTTATTGAAATTGCTTTGGAGGGCTGTTAATTCAACCTAATCATGTTGTATACTTTTGAAAGATGTTGTTTGTGGTGCTGTTGAAGTGTATTTCGTCATTCTGAGAAGTTATTCTAATATTTAGTCAACCCTCATTGATATTTATAGGGGTAACACAATATTAAAAACACTTGTTTGTGTAAAGCAGTACAGTTAAACAGCAGCACCATCTACAGCCTACCAAATGACCACGAAGTTAAAGCAAAACTCCTGTAATTTATAAGAGTTTAAGCTAAGTGTGCCCAACAAACTAGCAAATGAATGAATATTTTACTTAACGGCTACTTACCAATGTTAAAGCTACTTCTAGCATTGGTGCCAGAGCTAGAGTACCGTGAAACAGCGGCACACAGTCCACACACAACACTGGTTCACTGTGGCTGTCTTTCTTTTTCTCCTTCGTTTTTTCTGCCACCAGCAATCCATTCACGGCGCAGTGAGGATACTTGGCAGCATGTAAAACCATTTTACAGTAAGCTTGACTTGTCAGCTGAATAGGCATGTTTGTGAGACAGAATCGTTTGACAGACAGATGAGAAGGGACTGCTGTTACCGTTAGCTAACGTTACATACAAGTTAATGCACGGAGAAAAGTAGATATCTACCTCAGCAGCCACCACTGCCAGCATATGTGGTTAACGCTATGCCTAACGCGTACATGTAAGCGTAGCAAGCAGCAAAAACACATCAGTCTTTTTAGTGCTATATGAATTACTCAGTGTCACGACATCTAGCCACAAGAGCTAATCTTCCACCTTCCACTCGTTTCTGCAGCACCGGTGGTGCCGTAAATCAGAAAGACAATGTCGTGAAACTACTTTATGCACGTAACTTACGTCTTTCCGTTCACCGTCACACTTCCTTTCAGACTATCGGCGGACGGGAGCAAGGGAAAGGTTGTATTTTTTATCAATAGGTTCTTTCTAACCATGTAGAAATACGTCGCATTTGACCGCTTACTTACAATTTAACATTACACACGTTAAAAGTGTAATTAATTGTCCTCGATAAATTAACTATTTTAACCGAGGTAAGCAATGAACTATAAGTGACTTTGTCAGAGCGGACCGGAGCTAACCGGGCTAGTTGTCATTAGCATCTATTCTAAGGTTAGCGTCAGATTCGTGTAGGCGGATGTGTTGCGTAGAAAGTAGATGATACAGTGGTCTGCCATCGGCTTATATAAATGCAGTGTGAGTCAGTGGGGACGTATTGAAATGTGAAGTATTGTCTCAAAGAAATTGGTATTCATGTGATTATTTTCCCCGGGCGCGATGACCTTGTGCATTCAGCTAACGCTAACAATAGCTTAGCAAAGCGGTGTAACGTTAGCTAACGCTAGACCCTAGGTGTACACACATGAACTCATAACAAGTAACGTTAAGTCAGCGTAACATACATCTAAACAAGTAGTTAGTGAATTTTATGCGAGCTGGGTGACTTGGTTTAAACGTAAATAATGCTACGAAGTATTTAAAACAACTGTTAAATACCGGAAATCGTGTTATGACGTTAAACTCGCGACCACTTCTTTGTCCTTGGAGTAATTTACCCGAACACCAGCTATGGCCAGATTATGATAAATTCATTATTCATTCTTAATAAATGCATTCATATAAATGTGGTCCCCTGAACAAACAGGCTCGTTTTTCACGGTAACGTTAAAAAGAAAGCTCAAAATAATTTTATACGGAGGATGTGTAAACATGCCCATGTGTTTAAATGTGTGTTTTGAATTTGTTAATATCTCTCACACCACATTTTTCACAGAATGCTGGCCACCAGAGCCCTTAGCCTTCTTGGCAAACGTGCCATTTCCACATCTGTCTGTGTACGCGGAGGACATGGTAAGCATTACTTGAAATTACATGGAGTATTTTTTATTTTTGGCAGGGGGATAACAATAGATTGAGTTTGTGCCTCCATACCATCGTTTTTACTTTAGATACCACTACATTGATTACATAAGAGCCACAGAGTTTTTAAAAAGGGCATGCATTGTTCTGAAAGATAAATCTCCCGTGACCTATCAAAGGCCCATAAGGTTGTTTATTTCAGAATGCAAAATCTTAAAATGCAGTAAAGCAAAGTCCTTCAGTAAATTTGCTCAAAGAGGGGCTAGAATTCAATGAAAATGTTTTCCTCACCACATTTAAGTGTTCATGTTAATTCGTGTGTATATAAACATATACATACAAACAATATGTGAGTCTGGCTGGTGCAAAGGACCTGCTTTATCTCTCTTCCCATCGCACCACTACCTGACACTGTAGCTGTGTACATCTGGCACTTTGTTAAGTTGGATCAAAGAATTGCCGCCCTGTAAACATGTTTTGACATGCAGGCACGCACACACATTTTTTGTGCCAATGTACTGAAATTACAGACTTTTAGCTGTACTTCATACATATATTCAGTGATGGCATGTAAATTTTTAAATATATCTAGAACTATCAAGTGACAGACTGAATGGTGTGTGTGTGTGTGTGTGTGTGTGTGTGTGTGTGTGTGTGTGTGTGTGTATGAAGTACTACATCACAAACAGGATGTGACATGGAGGGCTGAGAGTGTTTTTAGTTTTCATTACAGTGAAACACCACCCCAGCTGATTTCATGGGTTAACACATCCTTAACCAGATCTAAGCAAACTTTTGTTGCTTTGTCAACTGTCATTAAGTAATGAAACCATAACTAACCTCCAGTGTTGTTTCAGGTTACAGAGTAATTTCAACAAAGGGGTTTTGCTGATTTTTATCATGTTCATCTATATTTGATTTACATTTTAGCCAATATTGTAATTTCACAATATTTTGACAAGATTCAGAGTTGAAGCTAAAGGAATACTGCAGGTGACATGGAGCAAGACTGAAATGACAGCGAACACAGCAGTGCAATGCTGTCAACACAGTGCTTTCTCTCATGGTCTTAGAAGACATTTTAGATGAGCTTGAGATCAGTGAAGGCATTAGGTGTTAGCAAAACTTGATTTGATGAGTCCTTCTGTGTTGTCCCCTGCAGGTGTTGCTAAGGTAGAGGAATACACTCTCCCTGCCTACTTTGACAGGCGGGAGAATCCCCTCCCGGAAATCTGCTATGTGCAGAACCTGAGTCCGGAGCAGAAGTCCCTGAAGGAGAAGGAGATGGGTTCCTGGGCTGCACTTTCTAATGAGGAGAAGATTGCATGTAGGGTTTAACTGCACTTCACTATGCTTTTTTGAGATGCTTTAATGTTCATATCTATTGGTCAGACTGTTTTTGTTATATGCACATATTGTATATATGGACAAAAGCATCAGCTTAATGAATGTAATGTAATCTAGATTTTGTGTTTCCAATTTTCAGTGTACCGTATCAGCTTCAAACAGAGCTTTGCTGAGATGAACCAGGGATCGGCAGAGTGGAAGTCTGTCGTTGGAGGGGTTTTCTTCTTAATCGGCCTCACTGGCCTGGTTGTGCTCTGGCAGAGAAAGTATGGTATGTTATTCAAAAAGTATAATGGCAAAATTGGCATTGATGTGCCTGCAAAGATATTTTGATGTAGTGATGGCTCTCTTCCAAATATAGGCAATTCAAACTGAGAGGAATGCAATTAACAACTATATTACACTGTTTTTTGACCAGTCTGATTAAGCCCATTACCTGACACATTTGGTATTGTGTCTTTGCAGTGTATGGCCCTGTCCCACACACATTTGAGGCAGAGTACAAACAGAAGGAGCTGCAGAGGGCGTTGGACATGAGAATGAATCCAGTGGAGGGCTTCGCATCCAAATGGGACTACGAAAACAAGCAGTGGAAAAAGTAAAGGACCCAGAGGACCATAACACATACTTGAAGATAACAGTAGACCAACTCAAAGATACAATACCTATATTTCTGTATTTATCAATTGTCCACATACCTCAGTCTGTGCATTTTGGAAGCCCTCTTCCTCTTAAGGTCATTATGTATTATAGAAATAATAAAAATGGTTAAAATGATAAAAACTTCTCCATTTCAACTGCATTAAATGAGTCCTGCCTAAATACTTTTAAATTGAGTGTTTCATATCAATGGTAAGAAGGACTAGACCTTGAATTCCATGAGGTGATTTTAATATACATTTTGTTAATTGTTACGCTGGTTTATAGAACATTTGGCGTAGTAGTCTTTGGAAAATAAGGAGAAAATGTCAATGAACACAACCACAAACCGCTGCATCAGCAAATAAGACTGCCATTTCTAAAGTTATTTGCCAGTGTGTCTAATTGGTCAGGTTAGGAGTTTGTGTGACTTGGGTCATTTAAAAATAAGTGGCCAGGGATACTTTACACTAGCCCTCAAGTGAAAAAATTTTTAATCCCTGACACTTGTAGAAGCTGACCATGTCACTTGAAGGTGGTTTGAAAAAAAAAAAAAAAAGGTGGGTAGCGTTAACTGCTATATCCAGATTCCATTAAGGAGGGGGGAGGACATGTTCCCCTCACATTTATACAGTGGGGAGAACAAGTATTTGATATGTTAATTTTGCAGGTTTTCCTACTTACAAAGCATGTAGAGGTCCGTAATTTTTAATCATAGGTGCACTTCAACTATGAGACAGAATCAAACAAATCCAGAAAATCATTGTATGATTTTTAAATAATTTGCATTTTATTGTATGACATAAGTATGATACATCAGAAAAGCAGACCTTTATATTTGGTACAGAAACCTTTGTTTGCAATTACAGATATCAGGTTCCTGTAGTTCTTGACCAGGTTTGCACACACTGCAGCAGGGATTTTGGCCCACTCCATACAGACCTTCTCCAGATCCTTCAAGTTTTGGGGCGGTCGCTGGGCAATACGTACTTACAGCTCCCTCCAAAGATTTCCTATCGGGTTCAGGTCTGGAGACTGGCTAGGTCACTCCAGGACCTTGAGATGCTTCTTACGGAGCCACTCCTTAGTTGTCCTGGCTGTGTGTTTTGGGTCGTCATGCTGGAAGACCCAGCCGCGACCCATCTTCAATGCGCTTACTGAGGGAATGAGGTTGTTGGCCAAGATCTCGCGATACATGGCCCCATCCGTCCTCCCCTCAATACGGTGCAGTTGTCCGGTCCCCTTTGCAGAAAAGCATCCCCCCCAAAAAATGAGGTTTCCACCTCCATGCTTCACAGTTGGGATGGTGTTCTTGGGATTGTACTCATCCTTCTTCCTCCAAACACAGCGAATGGAGTTTGGACCATAAAGCTCTTATTGACTTATTGAGATTGACTGTCATCTTGAACTTTCCATTCCATTTTCCTATAATTGCGCCAACAGTTGTTGCCTTCTCACCAAGCTGCTTGCCTATTGTCCTGTAGCCCATCCCAGCCTTGTGCAGGTCTATGATTTTATCCCTGATGGATTCTGTTTGATTGAGTGTGTGGACAGGTGTCTTTTATACCGGTAACGAGTTCAAACAGATGCAGTTAATACAGGTAATGAGTGGAGAACAGGAGGGCTTCTTAAAGAAGAACTAACAGGCCTGTGAGAGCTGGAATTCTTACTGGTTGGTAGGTGATCAAATACTTATATGCATAAGTCATGCAATAAAATGCAAATTAATTATTTAAAAATCATTCTATGTGATTTTCTGGATTTTTTTTCTTGCGTACCTATGATAAAAAATGACAGACCTCTACATGCTTTGTAAGTAGGAAAACCTGCAAAATCAGCAGTGTATTGAATACTTGTTTTCCCCACTGTATTTAATCTGTCCCTCCAGATTTATGAAAACAAACCAACGC